ATAGATAGATAGATAGATAGATAGATAGATAGATAGATAGATAGATATTTATTTTTGTCTCCCATATACCTGCTCCTCTCTTCTACCTAGCCACCCCTCCTCTCAGTTCCCCCAACAATTTTCTAAGATATGTGCATCATCAAAGAAAAGAGATTACCTATTGGCTGTTTCCCAAACTTCCTCATTTTGCACATTTAGTCCATGTGATATTACCACTATTTGTGACAGGAACACTACTTCCTAGGGTTCCTACCCCAACTCCCTTCTCCTTCAGGGGTTAGGCTAGTTTGTTTTGTTTTGTTTTGTTTTGTTTTATTTTTCCCTGAAAGATGACAATGCTGTCTATAGAACTTGATAGACCTAGAAGGCTAAGGCTGAAGTTACATTACACCTCTTTTGACTCAGCTTCCTGGTAGCCTCTGGCCATGTTGACATGACTTCCTGTCACCTAAGGCTATGAAAAGATAGACAGACAGACAGATACATAGGTAAATAAACAGAAAGATACAGACAGACATCACAGGAGGGGGGTAAGTCCCAAGTCTCCTAGTTCTGATTCTCCACAACATCCTGATCTAAGCCTTTGGTGAACAAGCTTTGGGTTCCTGGAGTGCCAAGATTTTCTCCTTTGCTTGTATTCTCTGTGAGGAGAAAACCTGAAGCTAAGCAGTTCCCAGGTCTCTGCTATCAAGAAATATTTTTCCTACATTTTCATCTTTGTTCCTTCCTCTGTGGCTTCTGTTAATACCATTATAGATGGCCAGATCTATAGTCATCTCAGTCAAGGCTCTGTAGAAGGAAGATTATTAAATAAGGTAACATAAAAGGAGAGGAGGAAAAGATATTTAGGAACATTCTAGAAATCAGAATATCCACTCAAATAACAGAGGTAGAGGAGAAAACAAAGAAATCTCATTTTCCTTAACATACCCTTCTAGCCAGGGATCTCAGATCTCAACTCTAAAGTGGGGGGATATCAGTAATGATATTTTACCAGTGAGAAAACCTACTCCTAGAAGAAGTTCAGTTCCTTGACTAGCTGGTGACAAAGACAAGCCTCATACCCAAGTCTCCTAATCTCATGTTCATCCTTTTTCCACTGCACCATCCTTTAACCTTGGCTATGTATTGCCATCAATCTCCATGTTATATTCACTTCATATTTCATATTGGACTGGTCTACATAAGCATTTTTCATGGTTTTCCATGAAAACTTTCAATCTAGCCTAGCCTACCCCTTCTCAAAGCATTCCTATTCTTTCTCTTCTTTCTGATAGACTATAAAATAAAATAAAAACAACTATATTTAGAATGGCTCAAAAAGATACACTAGCTAAAGTTAAAAAGGATATGAATTCAGATAAAATGCTGTTCTCTCCCACCTCTCCATTCATGAAAACAACTAAAAGCTCTAAATCAGGAAAGATATCTTTTATATCAATGGAAATTTCACTAAAATCTCAGACATCAATTCCCAATAAGCTGAGTCTTGTATGCCTCAGATGGGAAGGAAATCAAACAAATGATGACCTTGAAAATGACCTTTTTCGCCTTGAAGAGAAACCAGTCCAGGCTACATAATACAAATTCACTCCTACCACATTCATTATTTTTCCTTTTTTTTTTTTTACCTAGGAATAAGACTTTGCACTTTTTCAATGAAAGAGGAGGTGGGCGGGGATCATCAGGGGACAGTACTGCATGTTTTATTTTGCGCTTGGTTCAAAAGAAAGTGTAGCAGAAAAGGGATTGTCAGGATTAAGTGAAACAATTTGACATCCTAACAACTGAGGAGACAGAAGAGGACGTTGAAATGTATGAAAGAGTCAGAAAGAGATCATAGTACCTTGAGATTTTACATTGACTTATATTTACGTTGGTAGAGAGCCCTGAAGTATCTATTATTAAGGAATTTAGAAGGACATTGGGCAATTGGGCAACCTGCATCCCCGGTGAGTGAAGAAACAACCCTAGATTGAGCTTACTGGAATGCAATGATTGCAAATCCTAAAGTCTGTGTTAAAGTCCCATTCACCTGATGGGTGTGTGACTTAATGATCCTCTTTCTGAGCCTGAGAGCTTCAGCATGTATTAGGAAACTGAGGCATACACTTGCTTGAATGAAATAGGTGAGTATATGTCTGTGTGTACTCCTTGTAGGTTCTTAAGTCAATATATTTCCATTGTGTTCAAACAGAAAATGGCCCACCCTCCATAGTATAAATGAGTAAACTAAAGTCCGGAGTTATTAAAGGAATTGCTCAAGATCACACTGGTAGTGAGCTGCAGAGCAGAAAACAGAATCCAAGTCCTCTGATTTGAGGTAGTGTTCTTTCCACTGCAATAGAAATCTGCCTCTCTTTTTTCTCTTCTTCTAACTATCCCAGAAAGTTTGATTTAAAACAACCTCCCAATTCTATAGTCTCTCTTGATGTATACATTTTCCTTTTAAAATATAAACAGTAAAACATGTGTTTCTGTCCTGGTTGCTGGAGCCCAACTTACAAGATTTGTATACAAGTTGCATGTTTCTATGGGAACAATGTGCCTGTACAGTACAGAGATAGGTGGCAGAGTCCCTGGACTGAGAGGTTATGATTCCTAAGGAGCCATTACATTTATTCTTTTTTTCTTTTTTTAAATTTATTTTAGACTTAAATATAAAAAATACACAATAAGAAAAGAAAAAGTAACATTATAAGCTTAAATATTAAAACTTAAATACAAAATAAAAGAAAAAAGCATCATCATGTGCACAGCAGAACGTAAGAGAGGATTCAAAATATACAGCAATAAATTTCCATTTCAAAAAAGCCTATATAATAAATACTACACATTGTGTTCAGAGCCATCCATCTTTTCTTTGCTTCTTTGTAAGTTTTCCTTTGTTCTCAGCTGTGCACTTTTTACTTTGTTCTTTTTCACCCTTGCTCCTCACCCCCCAAGAAGGTACAATTAAGCACAGATATATTTAGGCATATATTATGACATTTATTCTTATCCAGCATTGCTTTTATTCTTCCCTTTCTGTTTTCACCTCCTTCTGAAAACAAATAAAGCAAAAATGCAGGACCTTCTCCAGGATTACGCATGTACCATACCAAATCTTTAAAAGTTCCCACTGAATAACTACAAATCAGTGTGATGATCTCTCCTTCCTGGATGTGTAAGGATGGAGGACTCTGCTCTACCTTGTCTTGGCCACTTGCCCCTGTTGAGAAACAAATAGGATATTGATCATCAGATTGTGCCTTCCCAGAATTTACATTTTACTTCACAAACACCGGAGAGATAGAGGAACCCAACTGAGCTTCTATTCTATAGACAATATCGCCCAGTCCCATTCCAAAAACTCTCAACTCAAAGCCCAGCTGAAGCCACAGTATCATTAATGAGATTGCCATAGACTGTGCCATTCTTTCCCCAGAACCACTGAGCAGTCAGTTCTCAAACTCAACAGGCTTACTGAGACTCCCAATCAAAGAAACTGGTTTTCACTCATTATTTTGTCTTTAGTTCCAGCAAACACCAGAGAGTCTCAATGGCTGCCAACCAATTAGAGCAAGACTTATTCTTCCTTTTCAATTGGGTTACTTCTTCCAAATATAGATAAAGCTACAAGAATTCATGACCTTAAGGAATCTTGGAGTTACTGCCATCTTGTGGCTAGTTGTTAAAGAAATAACTCTGTTACATCTCAATTTATAGACATTGAAAAAAAAATTTATAGGCATTATCTGAAGAGATCTATAATCAGAGATTTTTTTAATGATATCAAATCCAGTTAAACCAGTTGCTAATGAAAGATAGTGTAATAAGGTAAAGGTAGTGATATAACAGGCATGTCTAAATAAGACTACATATCCTAGAATGTCTGAGCCCAGAGAGTGATTGCTCATTGAAAAATTTCCTTGAGATACATTTTCCCATCAGGCTTTGTACCAATGGTATGGCTCAGGATTGTGTTGAGGAGACTTCTAGGAAGATAAGGAAATTTTAAGGTAGATTTTTTGTTAGAGTTTTGGATTATGAAGAGGGCCTTAAGGGGCTTAGTGACATTCAGCAAGTCCAAAGTCCTGTAGAGTCCCCTGGGTCTCACAGAGTAAAGAGAGAAGACCATCGAGTTGACAATGGAGTTGCAGATATCAGCTAGCGATCCCAGAAGAGATCAAGTATTGTGTGAGTCAAGTTCTCTTCCCTTCATTTTTTTGGGAGAGAAAAAGCCTTAGAGCTGGCTATCTCTCTTAGAGTTGTGCTTGGAGCAGACAGTATCTATCATTTAATGGATTTCCATAGTCTAGGTACAAAGATACGGGAAAGTAATAGTGAATTCATTAGTTATGAGAGATAGGTCAGGAGAGAGCACATAGTACAGATAAAGGATAGGTCTTAAAGTCAGGAAAATCTAGGTTCAAGTCCTTTTTCTGACACAACTGTAGCTATGGGCAAGTAATTTGATATCTCAGTTCTCTAGACAACTAAGTCTATTGGTTATTAATGAATTGCCAATCTGCAACAGTGCAAAGAACTTCCACACCATGAGTTCTCTGAGCCAATGAAATCATAAATCTAGATGCTTCATGCTTGCCAAAAATAGAGATCATATATATACACATATATATGTATATATACAACCACACACACTTATGTATCTGCATCTATATGCCTTTTTGTTTTTAATTTTTACATATGAAATATTTTACAAGGTTACAAATTTGGGGAAGAGATTGAAACATAATAGAAATGTGCCTGTATAAGAATAAGAGATATCACATGAGACAGTAGATGAAGTCTCTGACACTGTGATATTTATTTTTTGTGATTGCCTATTGCTAGGAATCCATGTTCTTCTGGGAAGCTATTTATTTAACTGATGATACTACTTATTTTCTTGCCATAGACTGCACTATAACATATTTATATTTATATTTAGCAGTATGGATGCATTTTGAAGATTAAAAAGTTTTGTGATATAGTTATTTTAACCTAAAAGGAGAAAGAGAATTAGTTACCAGCCATAATTATCACCTTACCTCATCAGTCATCTGCCTAGAGAGAAGATGTGAACAGCATGTTTAAGTTGGAGTTAGGAGACCTCGGTTCAAATCTTACCTTTGAGGGGACAGCTAGATGGTGCAGTGGATAGAGCGCCGGCCCTGAAGTCAGGAGGACCTGAGTTCAAATCCGGCCTCAGACCGAACACTTGACACTTACTAGCTGTGTGACTCTGGGCAAGTCACTTAACCCCAATTGCCTAAAAACAAAAAAACAAAAAAAATCTCACCTTTGACACTTAGTAGCTTTGTCATCATGGGCAAATCATTTAATCTCTCTAAACCTCAGGCTATCTTAATGATATATTGGGATGTAGGTTAATGAAGGGATTGATTTCACCAATCTGTGAGTTATTTATCATATGAGAGATGTGCAGGGACCTCTACTAAGCATTTGGAGATGCAAAGACAAAAGTAAACGAGTTCTTGATTCCAAGGAACTTATATCATCCTGGAGGGTCATGGCATAAGTAAATAAGTAAATAAAATAAGTAAATACATAAGTAAGATAAGTAAATACCAGAAAAGGAAGAAAGAGTAAAAATGAGATCAGAACAAGTATTCAAGAAATCTTTGAGAAGAGAGAAAACATCAACAATTAAGGGGATTGATGAAAGCCACATGAAGGAATGAGAAACTGAGTTGACCCTTGAAAAAAGAGGAAAAAGCAGATTCTCTTTCCAATAATAGTACTGAATAGTTATAACACTCTGGCCAAGACACGTTATCCAAAATAGAGCTAAATAAACAAAGAGCATAATTCTATAGCCTATGACTTAAGGAAACTATCCACATGTTTAGTCACTGTAGGAAGATTACCATCTTGCCTCCACAAACAGAAGTATTAATGTAATTGTCAATTACTATTGAGATTAAATAGAACAATCCCTTTTATGGCACAGCCAGGGGAGAATATAAATATAGTTGACACTTGGGGATAATTCCCAATTTTTGCAGCTTTTACAACTATCCTCTTTACTTCAAGAGATGCCACAAAAGTCATCACAACTTCTTAGAAACTTGGGTATTGGTGACAATGACAAGAAAAATGATGGTGTTGGTGGTGGTAGTAAGGATGATGACGATGTTGTTGATGATGATGGAATAAGAGTCAACACAGCGTAATAACGAGAGCGCTGGACTTAGAGTCAGGAAAACCTGAATTCAAGTCCTTCCTCTAAGACACTCTGACTATGTGACCTTAGACAAATCTCTTAACCTGTTGGTACCCCCAGGCAACACTCTAAAATGAATCATACCACATTTATGCAGGCAATTTTTCTATTGAGATTTCCCTCTGCTGATTAAATCACAAGTTTTGTCCCAGTTACGAAATAATGATAATAACAACGACTAGTGAGAAGTAGTGTGACATAGTGGATAAAGAGCTGAGGTCAGAGTCCAAAGGACCCATGTTTAACTAGCGCTTCTGACACAAAATGGCTGTGTAACCATTAGCAAGTCACCTAACTTCTCAACACCCCCAAATAGTTTCTGATTTGAGCAGCTAGAATTACATGGGTTCTTAAACCTTTTTTGTGTCATGGATTACTATGGCAGTCTGGTGAAACCTATGGACCTCTTCTCAGAATAATGTTTTTTAATGCATAAAAATAAAATACACAGCATTACAAAGGAAACTAATTATTATGAAATAAAGATATTTTTATATGCAAGTTTCACAGACCCCAAGTTAAGAAACTATATTAGAGTTTACTCATTGGTAGTTCCCTACACTAATGAAATCACAGGGAAGTCTGGACAAAAAATGAAATAAAATAATACTTCACAGTTGATATAGTGCTCTAAGAGTGATATCACCAAAATAACTCCTTTTTGCTATCCTTAACTTCATTACCAGCTTCAGCACATTCTGAGCTTTAGTCCTCCTGACACTCTTTTTATAAGATCATGCCATGTTCTTCTATTTAACCTCCCACTGGCCTTGATCCCATCTTCAATTGGCTTCCCTATGCATCCACATCAGCTTCTTCAGACAAAAATCTATTCATTCTTCCCTCATTGGAATTGTTTCCATTAGTGTCTACAGAGTTGCGTTATTGTGAGTTTTCCATCCCTCGTGGGCTGACTTCCCTTGCAAATTTTTAGCTATCACATGCTACCTAACAATCCTTTTCAGTATGAAAATAATTATAGGTTCAGATATCTGCTGTATGAGTGTGGCTAATGAACAAATGAGATGGAGCTATTACATATGTGGTTATGACTGGGTATATCCTCATTCGCAAGATGAGAAATTTTAATTCAGAAAAGTTAAGTGATTCTACCAAAGTAACTTTGAGGTCTTTAGAATTTAGTGGCAAAGCTGATGCTGGTAACCAGGTTTCTTTTTTTAAAAAAATAAATTTATTATTTATTTTTTTTAATATCATTTCTTAAAATTTGAGGTCCAAATTCTCTCTTTCCCTCCCACTCACTCCCTCATCCATTGAAAAGGTAAGCAATATAATATGAATTATACATGTGAAACATTCCCATATTAGCCATGGGGGGGGCCAAGAAAAATAAAGAAAGTGAAAAAAGTATACTTTAGTCTCACTCAGATTTCCTAAGTTCTCTCTCTCTGAAGGTGGAAAGCATTTTTCATTGTGAGTCCTTTGGAATTATCTTGGATCATTGTATTGATCAGAGTAGCTAAGTCTTTCACATTTGAACATCATTACAGTATGGCTGTTACTGTGAACAATGTTCTCCTGATTCTGTCCACTTCATTTTGTATCAGTTCATATAAGTCTTCCCGGGTTTTTTCTGAAACCATCCTGTTCATCATTTCTTATAGCACCACAGTGTTCCATCACAGTTATATACTGCAATTGGTTCAGCCATTACCCAATTGATGCGCATCCCCTAAATTTCCAGTTGTTTGCCTCCATGAAAAGAACTACTACAAACACTTTTGTGCATGTAGGTCCTTTGATTTTTTCCTTCAATCTCTTTGGAATGCAGATGTAGTAGTGGTATTGCTAGATCAAAGGGTATAGATAGTTTTATAACCAAATTGTTCTTCAGAATGGTTGGGTCACTTCACAACTCCACCAACAGTACATTTAATGTACCAATTCCTTTCCTGTTAGTCAATGTAATCGATATGAGGTAGTATCTCAGTGTTGTTTTAATTTGCATTTCTCTAATCAGT